AATGAGTCAGTCTTACATCATTCACCTGAAATGGGTGAGTGTACAAGTGTCCTGAGGCTGATGTGCTGCAAGAGGGGAGTAAATGAAACAAACAAACCAAGTGGTCACGACACGAGGCCGTGTATGAATCTGTGAACATACCGCTGATTCAGGACTAATAGCCTGTGTGCACACTTAAGCGGACCTGCACTGTTTGCACTGTTGAGCAATTTAATGCAATGTATCTCAATTATCCTGACACTGTTTGCAAATCAGCAGAGCCAAAGGAAAGGTAATGACTTATTGCCGTAGCAATTACAGAAACAATGACCTCAAATATTTATCTTGATCAAAGGAACGTGAACTACTTATTATGTAACACGGCACACAACCAACAGTGACCTCTGCTTTTACCCCATCACCAAGGTGAACAGTGGGCAGCTTATAAGCGCCCGGGGAGCAGTGTGTGGGGACGGTGCCATGCTCAGTACCTCAGTGGTAACTTAGCATCTGGCGGACTCAAACCTGCAGCCTTTCGGACCCAAATCCGCTTCCTTAACCACTAAGCCACCGCTGCTCCCAAAGTTCCACTGCTTCCTATATGTATATTGTAAAGTAGTTGTCGTCAACCCCCAGGCTGTGGACCAGCACCGGTCCGTGGGTCGATTGGTACTGGGCCGCACAGAAACAATGCATAACTTACATTATACTGTCTTATTTATTTCTTGATTCTGAACGATGTTTTATTTTGGTACGTTTCTCTGCGCAGGTTTGAAGAAAGGGTTCTGCTTTAAAAGACAAGCACGATGTTACAAAGACGCTGCCAATAAAGTTGCATACACTGTGGCTTAACGTTTATTATGATAATTAGAAAACACCAGTTTTACGCCTGTCGTATCATTTTATTTAGTTGTGTTAATCCGCCACACCTTAAAGGCCGGTCCGTGAAAAGAAATTCAGACATTTAATCAGTCTGTAGAGGAGGCCAATCAAATAAATGAGGCCAAAACAAACAGAAAAAAATGGATGGAAAATATCAGCTTCTTCTGTGACCTGATCAAAGCTATTACTAATTTACATGTAAAAAAAATCCAGAACATAAGCTCTGTAAATTATTCAAAATAATCGGCTTAACATGTTTGCAAAGGGTTTTACACCAAATCAAAATTTGCATCCATCAGACCGAGGTTTAATAGGACCATCATCAAAGACAAAGCTGGAGAGAAGAGAGTAAGTGACAGAGACAAAGTGTGACACCCAATCCTCCACTAATTGTTTCTTTTCATCATCTCTGTGCCATTGCCGTGGTAATTACATCTCGCCTCGAGGTCAGTGTGACGCAGATGAGGTCTAATGTGTTTTGAGGGTAAAGAAAAAGTTGGAGAGGTTTTGAAAACTGATTTGGTTCATGTGTCCTGACAGCGCACGGCTTAACGACACAACAATGTGCTTTCAATCAAAACAAATCTGAGGTTTTTTCCTCATCATCTCTCTTCGCTTATAAGTCGTGACTGATTTCCTCCAAGACATGATATGAAGCTGTTACTGTGACTCACAGGTGGCCTCCCACCCACCTGCCATTCGACATTTAATGAAGAGATCACAACAATACTGACAAGACAATTACACACCATCATTTCATTTCACATTTAATATTTGCACGTCTGTCTCTGTGAATGTTTATGTAACCAACATTTGAGGCTTCTTTCAAAGCTATTTTTATTGCAACGTGGGCGCTTTTTATACACTCACGGAATACAGTAAAAGTAAAAGTGAAATCCTGACAGCGATGTTACCTCATATTTAGTAAAGTAATGTTTTACACATAATTCTCTAATGCTCTAACCTAGGCATCTATGAGCTCCTAACATGAAGGCTTTGTAACTGTAATAAATTGGTTTAAACTTTTTGAGAATTTGTCATCATAATTAAGGTGAATATATTTGTTAGTGGAAAATTGCTCAGTGCTTTAAGATATTTTTCACTGTAATTGAAAAGGAGGTGGCCATGGACTTTTGATTAGCCTCACTGTTCGCTGCCTAATTTTATGACATTTATAATAATGCACCAAATGGGAAAGCTTCAATTAGCATAGGGCTTGTACTGAAGTTGTTAAACATGACTTATGTTTTATGACTCTCTCTTTGGGCCATTTAAAAAACCCCGTCCCTTGTGGACTTAATCAAATAAATCTAATACTCCCGGCCCTGAGCTATGTGAGTGTCTGCATTTCAGAGGGACTCTCCATAAAAATCACATATGCACATGTGCAGCGTTTCAAGCCAACGTATGGTCAAGGTCAATATCTTGTGATTTGCTAAGACTTGGACAAGTTACAAAATCCCTTTCAAAGGACGGCAGTGAGCAACTGTGATGAGAGTTCCAGTTAAAAAATCATATAAGCATGTTTCAGGTGAAGGCTTTTTTTGGTGAGTTAGTGTCAGTGCTAGTTTGTGGTCTGCTCCCAGCCCCCCCCAAAAAAAAAAAAAAACATATCAAACTGAAACACTAAAACCTGGGCTAATGGTAACTCATTACATGGTAACTAATATTATGCAATCCATTACTAGGTCAGGGTGTGGTTAGTTCATTTATGTATTAATACCTAATATCAACACCATTGTGTCAAGGACAATTGAGATTGTCCAGGAAAAACATGCACCAATGAACAAAAAGGAATTAATCCCTTTTTAATATTTAAATGAAAATTCACACTAAAAGGTGGACTGTGCAGCTGCTCTTTGGATCCTACCTGGTGTGTCCCCTAATGGCTTTGGTGGTTTGATGGTCTCTGAGCTGAAGGGGGCTTTTGTGGTGGTCAACCTTTTGGGCTCCGGTGTGGTAGCTACAGTTAACGTCCTTTTGGTGGGTCTGCTTGTAGTGCTAGTGGTGGTGGACACTGTGGTAGACAGGACTCTGAGGAACAGCGTTACATTCGGCTCTGATCTCTCGTCCCCTTCTACAGCATCTGGACCTGTGGGCCCCCAGTCAATAAATCCGGCCACAGTGGTAGCCCGGCCGTCCGGGGACTTGTCATCATTGGCCACTTTCAGCTGCCTTTTGCCTCTAAGTAACAACCTCATTGTTTTTCCTTTGCTCCCACTGGATAAAGGGGTCGGGGCGTCTGCCAATGCAGCCAAGGGCCCCCCTGTCTGTGAGTACTGAAGAAACTGGCATTCCCTACATGCTGCCTTATCTTTGTGTGCTGGTTTCCAGTGCTGCTGTCCCTTGATCTTTGGCCCGATCGCTGCCCCGTTGTCTTTGGGAGGAGGGACAGGGTTCAAAAGATGAGGGGTGAGGGGGCTCACCTTCCTCCAGTGAAGCTTGTTAGACATGTCCCACAGAGGCTGTGAGGGAGGCCGCAATCGAGTCACCATGTTGGGCTTCAGTTTGAGTACCAAACCTTGAGTGAGTGGACTGCACACAGTGAAGTCCAGGGTGAGGTGAGTCATGACCAACAGGATCCACACCCGGTGTCCGACACAGCTACTTGGCCTCAGAGCAGACGAACTGCAGAGGGAAGAGAGAGCAACATAAAGAAAGTTAAACATGGTGAGAGTTAGAACTCATTCTCAGTTCTTCACTGGTCATGACATGGGAATATCTGCTAAGCTAGTTAGCACAGAATGTGTGTAAAACAGGACACCTGACAGCAGATTCACCCTCTCTTATCTGTTATGAAAGCTTGTGTTTGTGGAGTGCCAATGTCACTGTGGCTACATCGTCTCCAGGTTTTCAACCACTGACTCTTGGACTTAGTGGAAATTACGTAAATGTTCTGCTCAATCACCAGATCTCAACAAACAAAGCTTGTTGGTCAAAATGAGAAATCTAAAGAAATAGACGAGAAGTGTAGGTATTCATCAACAATTTGGCAAAGTTTTCCTCCAGAAAGTCTCATTAATTACAACGTGCAAGATTAGGGATTAGCAGGATTTAGCTTTTCTCTATCTAAAGTCCTTGGACTCACATGTTCATGTACAAAGACAATTACACTGACACACAAGGTTACGTCCAGTGTAGCTTATCATCACATTCAGCATTATCTTCCAATGACACAAAGTCATCTGATTGGAGCAGGGCAGTTAGATTATACAGTGCCATAATCAGGAGCACGTTAGGCAGCAGGTATAGCCTGACATTTGTATGCACCAAATCTTTCCCTTCTTGTCACTAAAATGAGTTTATGAATTACTAGACTCCCCCCACCGATGCCCTTTGTAACAGAAGAAACTTCCTCTCATCATGGAGATGGCACATTGATAGATGCCCCGGCTCTTTAGGCTGGGGACTCTGCAGGAGACTGATTTTACAGACAACCTTCAGGGACAAAGCAACACTCGATTCCTGAGGGAGAAGCTCATTATGGGCTATCTCTCATCTCTGCCGCCCTCGGCTAATTTGAGCTCACACGGAGGACCTGGTTTAGAAGCATCAGTGAGGTGATGACGGATGAAAAGGTGTGAATGGGTTCACTGACAGTTGGGGGCTATGCTACGGTATCTGTTAATCACATAATCACTAGTTTATTTTTAACAACCCGTGGCAATAAAAACAGAAAAAGACCAACTGGGCCTCAGTTTATAATGTGTTTCTCTCGGGAAACTCTATTTATAATAAATGCAAATCCCTATGAACATTCCAGAAACTGCACTAAGGCTTAGACTACACGATGTGCCATAATCTGAATAATTATTATCACTAACGTAGTGTTTGTCCATTGGGCTTTGACAACATTGAACAACATTGCAAAATATGAATGTATTTATAAAGCAACATTTTGTAGCTGAAATGTGACTTCCTGCTATTTATCATTTTAGGGAATTTCTATAAAACTGTGTAAAAAGTGTAATAACAGAATTTAATAGATGTATGTGATGTCAGGATTTTAGGCTTTAGACCCAGTTTTTCTTAACTGACTTCATTATTAGAGGAGCCTCTTGGATGTGAGAAGAAACATCTTCAAAAACCAAATCAGTCCGGTTGCCTATTTTCAAATTTCAGAGTAAAAAAAAAATCTTTGGGTGATTTGCTTGCTTGATTTGCTTTGCGCGAGTATGGGGTTCTCCTGGGGCTAAAACTCAAGACCTCTTGTGTGTAAGGGCATGATACCGCTACTCTATGGAACTATGAACAGTAAATGGTCTGGGAACTGAGGACACAGATGTGAAACTGTTTTTCCAACGGCCAAGAATCTCATGAGCTTCATAAGGAGAATGAATACACCTTTACAGCACTGATTTAACAGGAAATTAAATTCCAATGCATTTTTATGAGATATCAGTTAATGACACTGCTGTCACACTATAAATAGCCAATAGCTCCACACGGTAGAGTTGCAGCATTGTTTCTGTACATTCCCAAATAAAAAATTAAAACTTCCTGTTTATGCCCAGTAAGCAGAGTTATAATTTGTTTTATGGGAGCGTTTTTACTGCTGCATCAACTCATTCTTTAGTATCTCAATTAGGACCCAGCCTCTCAAATTGCTAACCATTAAAAGATGAGGGATGCGTCCAACAGTGACGCAGCATTTTGCCCCTCAGAGGTGGTTCGTGGCAGTAACAGTGACTGGTTCACCCTCTGAGCTGAACATAGTCAGATTTATAAACCTTTACTCCACCAACTGTTCCCTTCACTCTTTACTGTAGCTTCCGTTTCCCTCCATTAACCTTCACTGAGCCAACTTTATGTCATCGTGTTCTAATTTTATGTGAAGGGCTGTGTTGTTACCAGACAAATGTGGCAATTAATCATTGCTGTGTTAATAGTCATAGAGGGTGATGCGTTAACCTGACCTTTAAATGACACCATGTTGTACAGTAACTCTGAGAGCAACTACATTAATGCTAATGTACCAATTTTCTTTAACAAATCTATTTGTGTGTTCACAAAATTTAGGATTGTTCTTATGCAGTTTGCATTATCTCTGACACACACACAGACATTAGTGAGGTTTAGCCAAGAATAAAGTCCAAAAATAAAACAGAATATTGCATAGCAACACAACATCCTGTGTAGTTTGTGCAAATTCATGTATCACTATTCATTTATTCAAATAACTGATTTAATTATACAGTACTGCACCGAGTAATTAGTTCAAAAGTTTGATTGTAAGAACCAGTTTCATTATAATTAATTTTATTTATATATTGTCCTCAAATTAGGAGAAATCATTTTCAAACCACCATAGAAAATATTCATAGGGTACAGAACTGGGAATGTCATAAATGTAGTACCAGTAAAAGTCGTGCTGAGAACACAGGCACTGCTGCAAAAATTGTTACGTTCTTTAAAGAATATCTTGCCCTTTTCTCATCATTGTGGGGCAGAGATGGAGTGAAATGTTAGTGGAGCCCTGAGCTTCATAAAAACAGTTCCTAGGGATGTCCCAGTCTCTAACATCTGGTACCATTTCCCTAAGATTACAATATAAACAACTATAATTGGTAATATGAATGTCATATTATAAAAACAACCTTTTCTTTTCTCCAAATACTTTGGATTATTATGTGTACTTTTTAGTTTTTCACTTTCTTCTTCTGCTACATTCCTGCAGAGATATCTGATCAGTTGGTCTGTTGACAGCAAGGCAGATCACTGGTGAGATTATCATGCCATTAATTGGAAATAGAAATACATTGTAACAAAACAGCAGGAAGTCCTTTTAGTTGTGACTGTATACTCTGTCCATGTGAGGAAAACAAGCTGATGGATATGAATGAAAAAATACACAATTATCTCCACAACAGGAGCAGGACGGAGGCTGACTCTCTGTGGAGTAATAAGGCAGAATGTACTGAACCACTGGGCAACATTATGGTCCCGGAGATCCTGAATATCCATTCTTCAATCAAGTGTTCACAGAATGGAATGACTTTGCAAAGTTGCCTTTAATTAGGGTGTCTGTTGGCCTGGGGGTCTGCCCTCTGAAGGTCAGCTAACTTTAGTTGTTTTCTCAGCTGTAAACAGCAGTTGACAGACAGCAGATGAAATAGGCATTCTGGGTATTTCGCTGAATGACACAGCAGACAAACATCGAAAGCTGAATCTGGAAAGATGAGTCTGGCACATGAACCCACACGTACACACACAGTATCCTGTCAAAAAATGAGTGACTTGACTGTAAACGTTCAGAGTACAGTCAGGACGTGTTTGACATATTTGCATAAAATGGCGTGTGATCCCAAGCTTTGCCATCTTTATTAAACTCTAGCAATGAAGTCTTTGAACAAAACCCAGTGATGTAGCAGTATATGTGAAATGTGATATTTCAAAGCCATATATTTGGATTACGCTTCTCTGTCCAAATGTGAAAAGTGACTGGTGTTGAAAAGAATGCTCCATGCTGGTTTCATCCCTCCATCTCTCCATGGTGCCAGTATAAGCTGTACTATATTCAGCAAATCTTCTTCCAACTTATTCCGCAGCTTCCTACAGCTGCGACTATCTGGAGACTTTAATCCCCGACAGTCTCTCCAAATCAAACACATTAACTATGTAGTTGGAATGCAAAGTTTGTAGCACATAATTAGGGCTTTCAATTTTGTTAAAAAGAGCATTGGCATCAGCTGAGACCATGGATTATGGCTGATATATAATTCTACAAGAAGAAGAAGAAAGGACTTTTCACAAAACAGCCATTTTTGTGGTGGGTAGGGGGACCATGTGATCGCCATGTTTTACCAATCAATACAAGTTAAATCCACCTTAACTAAACAATAGTTGTCAGACACCACATGGAAGAAGAAAACAAATATATCCATGTATAGTTGACCCACAGTCACAAAGGCCATCCAGAGTATGAGAGGATCCAAGAGGAATTCATCATTTATTGAATATTAACCCCTTACTAACATGTTTACAGTTACACTCAAATACTCCTTAAATAATGTTGATTAATTAATTAGTTGTCCATAGTGTTGCAGTTATGACGCCTGCCTTACATGCACAAGAACCACATATTAAGTTAAGTTTAAGTTTAAGTTTAAGTTTAAGTTTATTACCATAGCTAATGGCGCCTCCTGTGGCAGCCTGTGTAGGTTGCAGGGACTCATACTGTGAATTTTCCCATTGTGTAACAAATAAGGGACTTCAGTTAGATTAATTAGATTATCAAACATATCTATAATCTCATCCAGATCTGGTATCTGGATGAGATTACAGATAGATAGAGTTCACAAAGGTCAACCAGCTCCAGGTACTGAATTTTAAATTGTCATGTTTGAAGATCACTGGGAGGATGTTATCACTTTAGAGAAAATATCTGCCTTAGTCGGCACCGCAGTCAAACTCTCAACAACTGTGCACATTTCCTGTAAGTTGTGTAAGTTGCCAGTTTCTTTCTGTGTGTAAGTCCTGCTGTTACAGTAGATGGAATTAGATTCAAACAGCAATCTGGACCTGCTTTGTGTGTCAAAGTCCTTAGTTAATCATCCAGGGACGTAAGTGAAAATAAAGAAAATATTTTCTTTTCACCCCCTTTATTTCTTTCCACCAAACCAAATAAA